GCCCGGAGCCGGGTCAGGACAGCCCAACCCTCCCCAAACCCCCCGGAATTCCCCGTTTTCCCGCCCTTGGGAAGACGCCGACGCCCCGTCCCGGGAGCCGCCCCCTCCCTTTCCGGCGCCGAGGTGTCCCGGGAGGTTTGAGCCGTGGGACAGAGGACGGGGTGTTTTTTGGGATCGGGAGTGGCGATGGAGTTCGTGGGGTGGGAGGGGGTCGGATTCCGTTCCTCCCCCTCGTGTCTCCCTCTCCGGGCCCCAAAGGCACTTTCACTCCGTGCGGAGGATGATGTGGATCCCTGAATCCGTGAACACGGGGCCGCTCATCTCGCCCGCCCGCAGCGCGAACGACGCGTCCTCGAACGGCTTCTGCATCTGCCCTGCGGAGAATTCCCGGGAAACCGCGGGGTCAGGGATCCCGGGGGCTCCGGGGAGGGGTTAACCCTCGTTCCAGGAGGGAATTGTCCCCCGGATCCAACCCGAGCCTCTCCGGGTGCAGCCCGAGGGTGTTTCCTCCCCTCGGGAGAAGGGAACGACCCCGCCCGGCTCCGCCCTCCTTCCAGGGGATTTTGGGGACACCGAAGATCCCTCTGGGGCCTCCTTTTCCATGTTCTCCAGCCCCCTTTCCATGTTCTCCAGCCCCTTTTCCATGTTCTCCAGCCCCTTTTCCATGTTCTCCAGCCCCTTTTCCATGTTCTCCAGCCCCTTTTCCATGTTCTCCAGCCCCTTTTCCATGTTCTCCAGCCCCTTTTCCACGTTCTCCAGCCCCTTTTCCATGTTCTCCAGCCCCTTTTCCATGTTCTCCAGCCCCTTCTCCTTTTTCACCCCCTTCTCCTTGTTTTCCGGCCCCTTCTCCTGCTCCATTTCTCCTTTTCCAGGACTAACAACACCCTCAAACTGAGTTTTTTCCCCCCCAAAAATTAATTTATCACCAAAGGGACTTTCCTTTTTTTCCCAGTTTATCCCTGACATATTTTCCCAGAGTTTTTTTCCTAAATTCCAGCGTTTTCATTAATTACTGGAAGGGGAAGGAAGCTCACCAGGCTCGTTATATTCAGAATATTTGGATTGTTACCCGTTATATTTCAATATTTCCACCATTCCCCCAATTTTTCCCACAATTTCGGGGTTATTTTCCACTAAAAAGCCCTTTTTCCCAGCTTTCCTTCCTTCCCTTTCATCCCTAAAAAAAGCAGGAAGGAGGGGGTGGAACGATGGGAGCCGCTGCCATCTAGTGGGAGCTGAATTTTAGGGAATTTCTTCCTGTTTTGGTGCAGAGAATTAAACAAAAAAAAATCCGTATTTTTGTCCCTCTGCAAAGAGCTGGGCTTGCCCAGAACACAGAAATATCCATAAAAGGTTTGGAAATCCATTAAAAATCACTTTTTCCTCTTTTTTTTCAGCTGAGGGAACAACTGTGAGTGCTGGGGTTTGATCAAAAAATGGATTAAATCACCAAAAATAGGGGTTTGGTGAGGAGGAAATTAGGTTTTTAATCCATATAAAAATTGCTCTGGGGAGTAAACCCCTGGAATGGGTGGGTTTGGGGCGTTTTTTGGGGGGAAAACCCCCCAAATTGCTGTTTTGGGGGAATAAACCCCTGGAATGGGTGGTCTGGGGTGTTTTTTGGGAAGAAGCCCCTCACCTCTCCCAAAGGCTCCCAGGTCCCCTCCTGCCTTGGCCGAGCTGCAGTCGCTGAACTGGGAAGCCAAGGACTCAAAATCCTCCTCTCCCGATTTTATCTTCTGGATATAACCTGGAAAAACAGGGAAAACAACCCCTTCACAGGGAGAAAAACCACCCCAGAACCTCCTTTTGTGCCTTAAATCCCACCTCAAATATTTATTCCCCCCCTCCCTCCAAAAAAAATTCTGGTTTTTGGGGGAATTTGGGCAGAAAAAGGAGGAGAAATAATTCCAAGACTGGAGGGATGGAGCAGAGGGAGAAGGAGCTGCCCTGGGAGAGGCAGAGGCCTGAGTTAATTTGGGATTATTTCCGAGCACGGGGATTAATTGGAAGCGAAGTGGCAGAAGCAGCACAAGGGTGACCTAATTTAGGCTGGGAATTCAAAACCTGGGAGGTTTTTTCCCAGCCTGGAAAAGGGGGGCTGGGAAAGGGCAGGGAGAGGGGAATCTCGGGAATTCTCTGGGCAATAACAGATGGAATTGATATCATTTATACATCAGATGTTTTTGTACAACATTTCTATTTGTGTTCCATATGAAATTTATGGATAATTGCTATTACTTGTATTCATTGTTATCATTATTATATTATATAATATTCCCATTATTCCTATACACCCTGCCCCATTCCCATTATCCCCATCATTCCCATTCCCACCATCCCCACCATTCCCATGAATCCCATTCCCACCATTCCCATAAACCCCATCCCCACCCTGATCATCCCCATCCCCATCATTCCCATTCCCACCATCCCCACCATTCCCATCCTCACCTTTCCCATCCCCATCATTCCCATTCTCACCCCCACCATTCCCACCATCCCCACCACTCCCATCCTCATTCCCGCTGTTCCCAGGGGTGCCCACGTGCCGTTGATGAGCTCCAGGGCCTCCTCCTTGGAGCGGGTGATCTTGTCCTGCCTCCAGGACGAGGGTCTGCGGGACTGGTTGTGCTTCACCAGGAGGTGGGAGCAGCGAACCCGCCCCGGCTCCGACCGCGCCGACCCCACGGAGCCGCCGGAGCCGGAGCCGTGCGGCCGCTCCCACTGGCTGGCGTTCGTCAGGTGGTTGAAGTAATAAACCCGGCCTGAGGGAAAGAGGGGCCAAAAGAGCCAGTTATTGACCCAAAACATCCCTTTAGTGACCCAAAATGTCCATTTATTGACCCGAAATGTCCATTTATTGACCCAAAACATCCATTTATTGACCCAAAACATCCCTTTAGTGACCCAAACCATCCATTTATTGACCCGAAGCATCCACTTGGCGACCCAAGAAACCCAGTTAGTGACCAAAAAGATCAAGCTGGTGACCCAAAGAATAGATTTTTTTTGGCCCAAAAAATAGGTTGGTGACCTCTCCACACTGAGCCCCCGCCCTGAGGTCCCCCCCCCCCATCCCCACAATTCTCCCCCCAAACCCCTCCACTCCCTCACCCCCAGGCCCTGCCGCTCCCCCCGCCGCGCCCCTTCCTCACCCCCCCAAGCTCTTTTTCCCGCCCCTCCACCTCTCCCTTCTTCCTCACACCCCCCGGGCCCCCCTGGAGCCGCCCCCTCCCCACGGGCCCCTCACCGGAGCTGCGGCTCATCCTCTTCTCCCACCCCGGGGGCAGCTTCTCCTCCTCCGCCATCTTCCCTTCCCTGCGCCCGCCCTGACCGCCCCGCCCTCACTGTCCACACGGCGAAGGCGGGGCTAATCCCCCTCCTCCGCTCCCATTGGCGCACGCAGGGCGGCGCCAGCAACCCCGCAGTGCGATTGGTGCACACGGCTGTCAATCACGCGCCAGGTGAAGCCAGAAAAGGCGCCATTCATGTAGTACGGGCAAAGCGGGACGGTGGCCGCGGGTGGACAAACAACGCGAACGCGGTTTGGGGGCGTCCCGGGTGTCCCCATAGCGCCCCCCCCCGGAGGCACAAACCCACCGGAGACTCAAAAAATACTTTTATTATAAATAAATTAAACATTGCAGACGGTTTGGAGCCTCAGCGTGGAGCTGGATCCGTCGTAGAGGGGCTGTGGGGGGTAAAGGGGGGTATCGGGGGAGGGGCACGGGGGGTAACGGGGGGCACAGGCGGCCGCTCCTGGTCGTGGAATTCCAGGTTTATCCCGTCGTGGAGCTGCTCTGGAGAAGTTAAGGAGAAAGCGGAGGTGTCGATAGGTGGAGTTTTTTGGGGGGTGGCCGCCTCCGGACCCACCTTCGGGACCTCCCGGGACGCCCCGACCCCTCCCGACCTCATTCAGAGGCCTCCGGGCCCTCCTTGTGCCACCCCGCGGCACCTCCGGCGCGCAGGAAGTGACGTCACGCGGAGCGGTTGCTACGGAAGTGTTGCCTTGGCAACCGGTGTGGTTGTTGTGATGGTGGTTGTCGTTGGCAACGGGCAAAATGGCGGCGGGACCCCCCCCCCCCAGGGACCCCTTTTATTGCCTGGGCTCTCTCCCTCCTTCTCTTCCTCTTCCTCCTCCTGGGAAGGGGACAAATGGGGACAAGAGGGATCTGGGGGGACTAAAATGGTGGAAAAGAGGGATTTGGGGGGAATAAAAATGGTGGAAAAGAGGGATTTTGCAGGATAAAAATGGGGTCGCAGCAGGAAAATTGACGCCTCAAAGGAGCCCTTTTTTGGGCCGTTTTCACCCCCAAAAATTCTGCCCCCCGGTGTCGCCTCCAGACCGGAATTGCAGCCAGGAATTGCAGCCAGGAATTGCAGCCAGGAATTCCAACCAGGGCTGGATGTCCCTGACCCTTCCCGGGGTGACGAAACGCGGCTGCTCTGTCCCGGTCTCTGCGCCCTGGGAGAGGTTTTGTTCCCAAAATCCGACGTTTTCAGGGCAAACAAACAACAGGGAAAAGGACAATTAAAAGGCCCTTTAAAAACCTGCCAAAGAGCACCAAGATTCCGCTGATTCCTTCTGATTCCCAAATAAATTCCTTTATTTGGAATTTATCCCTTGGAATTCCCAGATTTAGGGGGGTTCATTCCCATTTCTTCTCTCCCAACCTTTAAATCCAGTGATTCCACCCCCATCCCAAATCCAGGTGTCCCTGGAAATCCCATTTTTGGGGGGATCCAAATCCACTTTATTTCCTTGGAAAAAGGTTGATTCCCAACCTCCCCCCTGTTTTTCCCAATTTCCCACTTTCTGGCCCCATTTTTCCCAATTTTCCACTTCCCACTCCCATTTCTCCCCCACATCTGGAGGCAAAGCCTCCAGGATTTTGAGGATTCTCCCCTTTTTTAACCCAAAATGGATGAGGAAAAGCCACAAAAACCTTGGATAAAGAGGGGAAAAAAACTCGGAATTCTCAGGACTGGCCCCGATCCCAACTTTTTTTGAGGTATTTTTTTGAGGACAAACCAACTGGACCTGACCTGAACAACCCCCCCCGGTTAAATTTTAACCACGGGAATGAACATTCCCAGAGTTATCCCAAGCCTTTTTATCCCGGGGATCCTGGTCAGAAATCCCTTTTTCTCCCTCGTTCCCAAGGTTTTTCCCTTCTCCCAGAGCTCTCCAGGATGGACGAGGAGCACCTGGATGACGACCTGCGAGTGTTCAAAGGTAAATTCCAGGAGGGTTTTTTTCCCCGGAATTTTAAAAGTAAATTCCAGGATTTTTTCCCCAGGACTTCCCAGAGGAGATCCCGTGTTTTTCTTCTCCCTCAGCTCTGGGGATTTGGCTGCTCCATTCCCGGGGGGAATTCGGGATGGGATGGGGATCATTCCCATGGGGTTGGGGCACCAGTTTCCCCAGTTTTCCCCCAGTTTCTCCCCCATTCCTCCCAGTCCCTCCAGTCCCTCCCAGTCCCTGCTCACCAGTTTAAACCCAAACCGGAGCAAATCTCACCCAATTCCTGGTTATTTATTAACCCTTCCGTCAACAGAGCCGGGAAAACAGGGAAAAATCCAGGAATCTCCCTTCCCTTCCCTTCCCTTCCCTTCCCTTCCCTTCCCTTCCCTTCCCTTCCCTTCCCTTCCCTTCCCTTCCCTTCCCTTCCCTTCCCTTCCCTTCCCTTCCCTTCCCTT